GAAGGTAGAGATAGTAAGGTCTTGGGATGTGTTTTTGGTGGTGGTTGTGGGGAGTGAGAGAGGGTTTCAGAAGGGATATAATATGGAGTCTGAAGATGATGTGGGGGTTTGGGGGGTTGGAGATTAAAAGCGGGGGTGGTGGTGGGGGGGTGAATGGGCGTATGTTGGCATTTTAAAGTTTATGAAAGACTGATGACCGCCATTCAGAGTTCTCTAAGCCCAAAAAATGGAGCGTACGTGAGGTAAATTTTATGTTTAGAGGAAAAGTGGGAGAGAGAGAGAGAGAGAGAGGAAGGAGAATTAGCGTGTACGAATAACCAGTGAGGCGACCTTGTCTGTCTTGCATATATATTACGACAGGCCAAGGCGTAGCTTGAAAGTTACGGAAGGTAGATGGTCGTGTTCCATCCGGACACCAGGAGAGTTAATTAAGCAGAATTGGTATTCCCTGTATGGCTCTCTCTCTCTCTCTCTCTCTCTCTCTCTCTCTCTCTCTCTCTCTCTCTCTCTCTCTCTCTCTCTCTCTCTCTCTCTCTCTCTCTCTCTCTCTCTCTCTCTCTCTCTCTCTCTCTCTCTCTCTCTCTCTCTCTCTCTCTCTCTCTCTCTGTCTCTCTCTCTGTCTGTCTGTCTCTCTCTCTCTCTCTCTCTCTCTTATTGGCGGTGTGTGTGTGTAGTGTGTGTGTGTGTGTGTGTGTGTCGGCGGGGAGGTAGAAATTAAGAGGGTGGAGCAGAGTTTTGGCTTCTCATAGAACTTTAATGAAGTGCAGTCAAGTCTGAAATTTGCTAAAAAGGACCAGGCTTTAAAGGCTGGTTGTACTCCAGCTCTCCAGACTAGATCAAAGACATGGGCCACTCTGATCACGAATAACAGTCAGCTTAAAATTAACTGGTTGTAGATTGTGATATATTTAATACGAGAAGCACATTTCAAGAGTGGATATGTGGTATTAGTGGTAATGACGATCAATAGTAACAAATAATATTTATAATAGTAATGTGAGTATACAAAGACGCTTTGAGGCGAGTGAGTAGCTTAATGGCTCATTACACACAACTAAACGTAGTTTAAAAGCTTTTTTGCTTTCTTTGTTAAGAATAAAACTGAAGAATAAATTCATTTGTTGTGCTTTCACCTTTGTCAATTTCCCTGAAAATCATATATTTCGTTATCACTTATATTTTGGTAAAAAATTTATACGAGGATTTCCCGGTAGACGTTTCATGCCAGCGCTGCATATTCAAAAGAGGGTCTCACCCAGGTTGTTCATAATGCTAAGAGATTACTTTTAACAACTTTTCCACTTTCTGCGATCCATTATTTCAAGATACACCAGCTAACATGGCGTTTTTAGTGTCTTTTGGGTGATTACTGACAATGATTTAAGAAAATTAATGCAGAACCACTGTGCCCACTTTCTTTCTCACTTTAGTTCGTTGTGTCCCTTCTACCCAGCACTCTTTATCATATAACGCCTTTAAATTACCGATGGTTTTGGCCTCCACCACCTTCTCACTTAACCTGTTCCAGCCGTCTACTGTTTGGAAAGGTGAAATAAATTAAAGATGTGTTAATTGGCTGAACCTGATGACCGTCTCGGACCAAGCGGCAGACCTTACAAATTAACCAAGTCTCCACCTAAGGGATTAACCAAGACATCACCTAAAGGATGTCGTAGTTCCTAACATGATCTGATATCTAATCTTCATGCTGTTCTATAATCATAATTCTTCCAACGCGAGCTCCGGGCCTCTTGTGGGTGTTCGTTTGTGTGTGGTTGGCCTACTGGCGACAAATATTCTTAAAAGCTGTAAATGTATTAGTATAATTGAAATCCCTATTATCTATGCAACCAACGCTCATTTACCTCACTCATAAATTCCAGGAAATACAACTTGATTTTTCTCTCACCTCTCCGAAAAAGAAATAATAAAAAGGCACAGACGGGGATATCTTCGTAACAAGGCCCAGATGTGTCTGATAATACACCATCTCTTAATTGCGAAAATTGTTTTGACCTTTCAGCCTCGCTGATATCAACTGAAGTCTAATGTGAATAAATCCTCCTCCAATGGCTGATGTTTTAATGATTGAAGCTTCAGTTCCACTTCCCATGGGGACACGCTTGCCGCTGTTATATAATTTAAGAACTGTATTTTGCTTTGGATTAAATAATGAAGCGCCTGTGCTGGGACGGTGTTCATTAACATGACACAGTAGAAAGAGTTCTCTCCCACTTTTTGGAAATTATGTAGAGCAAAAAGTTCAATTTTAAATATTCGCAGAAGTCACCAGGCCAATTTCGTTACGTATTCTGGCACACTTCATCAACAGTGACAATAGGAAATCCACACTCAGTCGCCCAATTTTATGGCTGAGCGCATTTCAGGTGCTAGTTAGGTTCAAAGTTGTCAAGTGTCAACTAATCAAGCGACAGCTAATCGTTTCTAACCGTCGAACAGAGGCAGGCAGTAACGTAACCAGGAGCCAGCTATCGAAAGGAAATTTTCCTGTATTTTCACATAAATGACGGGTATCGAAAAGTTGGAATGCAGGAGTCTTGTTTGTCTGTATAATAACGTAACCAGTTTTCGAATAGGTCTTACACACTGTATTGTCTCATAAAGACTTCATTTAATAAATACTTGCTATATATATATTCTTTATAATATAATAAGTTCATTTCAATAAATGAATTTTCTCAAATTTAGTCCATCAATAACAGCTAAATGAACAAAGCCTCTATATACAATTGTTATAAAGGAACCTGCACCAGGTGGCAGGATAGGAAAACCTTCCATTCGGCTGCAGGGTCTGATTGTGACACAGTCTATATTGCTCCTAGAAAATCAAAGTGATCTGTGCCTGCCTTGGTGAATTTCAATTTGCATGGTTATTGGCAGAGAAGTACTTAAAATTCAATATGTTAACATTACATACATAAATGACATAATTGAATTGTTGTAATATATATATATATATATATATATATATATATATATATATATATATATATATATATATATATATATATATATATATATATATATATATATATATATATATATATAAAACAAGTAAAATTAAATGGCTCTGAAATAAAGATTAACTGATTCGGGAGGTGTTTGAGAGAATACTAGTACAAATAGTTTGCTAAGACCCCCCATAACTCCCAGAGACTAGTTTTCCTACAGACGATCTCATTGGTACCGTGTCGCCTTCCATGATGGTATCGTTATTCTTTCCAAGATGACTTTGTGACGCCTTTTAAGATTATTATTTTGACATCTTTTGAGTGAGTATTTTTACTCCTTCCAAGATTGTATTGTGACGCCTTCCATAATAGTCTTGTGACGCTTTTCAAGATAGTATTGTGACGCCAAGAATTGTTTTTATTAATATTTTCGGTAACAACAGCATATTAGAAAGCAGTTTTACTCCAAGTTTAACAAAATATTATTTTGACTAAGATGACAAAAGAACTCGATCAAGATAAAGTGGTACATATGAATATAATTTACCTACTGGAAACAAATGCCATTCACACAAAGGAGTAGATCTCATCAACCATCTGGAACTAAATCCCATCCACCACAAGTGAACAGATTTATTCCACCACAATAGACCAAATTTATTCCACCCCCAAGGGACTAGATTCTTCCACGAATCTCACAATTTATGGCAAAAATATCCTATCTGGGAGGCAGAAAAAACCATGACGTCATGGAGTACGATAATGTTTAAGCGTTGCCAACAATCTTAGGAAATGGTCATAAGAGATAGCAAGAGCCTTAGAGAACAATAGGTTATATTCGAACCTGCAAATACTGAATCCTATTTTAATTTTCTTTGGTATGATTTGGTTTCATTCGGATGGTTTTAGTAACAGTATGTTGGAGTTGATACAAGTATTGACTTTGTATTGAAAAATGAGACATATACACTTTCTATTCCTCATTTTATTTTTTTGAGTGATCACTTAGCTTTGGTCTATCTTGCTCGACCTGTTTCCTGCTGTCTCTCCACTGGATGATTGCAATATGCCATCCCCTTCCTGGCCTTCCTCTCAGTCAGGTAATGTGTAATTATTTACCTGTCCTGCCTCTAGGTCCGCAGAGCCCCTTTTGAATCATGAAACAAAGGGCCTCTGTATCCCCCTCCTCTTCTTTGTTGTCAATACACTATCGCTGTTCCTGCGTTAACTACTTCCGTTTTGTTACCTCTCGAATACCACCCCTTTGGCTTCCTCTTAACCACCGTCCATGATCATTACATTTTAACTACCTCTTCTAGTTGTTAAACATTAATTCCCCCCGTGATTGTTAAACTTTAACTGCTCCTCTAATTGTTAAACCTTAACAACTTTTCTAAATTCTTAATCTCAGCTACCTGCACGCTAGTTCTTTTTTTTAGTAATGTTCCCTTTGTTCATCATCGACATCCTCTTTGCTCCACATCTACCACCTCTTTATTCTCCATCTTCCTGTCGTTTGTTCCGCATCTACCTTTCCTTTGTTCCCCGTGAACCTCTATTCTTTTGACTTAGAGACATGCATTAGTTCAGACTATTCAAAGAAATGTGTCTGCCATTATACCTAAAGCACAACACGTGACTCAGGACACATAGCTCATTAAGCACGTGATACACGCATCACGTGACACATAGACTCCAGGCAGGTGGTGATGATGTTGTTGCAAAGAATACATATGATACACATGCAGGCGATGAGTCACAATAACGTGGCAAAAGTATGTTGATCAGACCACACACTAGAAGGTGAAGGGACGACGACGTTTCGGTCCGTCCTGGGCCAATCTCAAGTCGATTGTGCTGGACGGACCGAAACGTCGTCGTCCCTTCACCTTCTAGTGTGTGGTCTGGTCAATATGATACACATACCTCGCGATACATAGGCCACAAGCAGTTGATGATGATGATGTAGCTGTATATGAAACATGTGATGCATACGTGTGGTGACACATGGATGTGGTCTTGTTGCAGGTCGCGTGACGGAGGTGGTGACGCTGGTAGGGGGCAGAGCCAGGCTTCCCTGCGACATAACGCAGTTCGGTGACACTCCAATACTCGTCCTGGTGTACAACGGCGCCACGGGCAGACCCGTGTACAGGTGAGAGGGTGGTACAAGGTGGTGCAGGCTGGTACAGTGGTACAGGGTGGTGCAGTTGCACAGGTGGGTATAATGGTACCGGCTGGTATAATTGTGCATATTGATACAATGGTACTGACGGATACAATGGAAGAAGTGAGTAACTGGTTCAGTATTTTGGGTGAGTGAATTTATATTCGACAATGATGATGAGAGAGAGAGAGAGAGAGAGAGAGAGAGAGAGAGAGAGAGAGAGAGAGAGAGAGAGAGAGAGAGAGAGAGAGAGAGAGAGAGAGAGAGAGAGAGATTCTTTCTTTACTGTTTTCAAACAGTGTTTTTTGCTGTTTGGTTTACTTTGAGCAGGAAAAAGTTTTCAATATGAACTCGTACGGATTTAACAGCCTGTCTTCAGGCCAGGCTTGTTAAAGGAGCGCCTGTCAATCAGGCGCTCCTATATATATATATATATATATATATATATATATATATATATATATATATATATATATATATATATATATATATATATATATATATATATATGTTGTACCTAGTAGCCAGAATGCAGTCCTCGGCCTACTATGCAAGGCCCGATTTGCTTAGTAAGCCAAGTTTTCCTGAATTTATATATTTTTCGAAATTTTTTCTTATGAAATGATAAAGCTATCCATTTCATCATGTATGAGTTAATTTTTTTTATTTGAGTTAAAACTAACGTAGATATATAACTAAACCTAACCAACCCTACCTAACCTAACCTAACCTATATTAACCTTACCTAAACTAACATAACTAAGTCAATAATTTAAATTCTTAATATAATATAATAATAATATATCAAATAAACCAATTGGAAACAATATTTTGAAAATAAAGAAAATCACTCAGCTTATTAGGCAAATCGAGACTTGCATAGTAGGCCGAGAAGTGCGTTCTGGCTACTAGGTTCGACGTATATGTATGTCATTCATAGGGGGTTTGGCCGGCTGGTTTAACGATCATTTGGGCTTTGTTGATGAGGAAGAACTGTTACACACGACTCACAACTGATGGCATTCGAACATTTCTCGACCAGTACTTGGCTGACGAACTCTGTTCGAAACGCAACGGTGTAAATGCTTCACCCATGTTCGTCAAATACAAATAATCGCCAACAGAATCTAAACACCTAAACAAACCTACGCCTAGCTAAACATTGAACTTTAATATATAATAACTTGAATATATAAATGGGAAAAAAATATATTTTTAATACACAATACGTTAAACTTTATGAATGCCTCTTGGGGAGACGGTCGAAGCTTTAACGAGCCTAGCTTGATGACAGGCTGCGAGCTGTGAGGTGAGCCAAATACATACGAATAATGAGTTAATACTCATTCACCCGCTATCATAAGCTATCTACAGATTAATTACTGGGAAGGTAATTAGCATACCAGATTGCACTAAACTATTAAAGGAATTTTCTGTGTGTATATTTTCAGAGTTAAACGCATAACACAGTATAGATGATATATAAACCAATTGGACATATTATCCATGATATATAGGAGCATATATCATATTACGCATAGGCGCGCCTTGAGTATATTCCTCCGTGAGTAATTTAGGGACATATATATACCCCTTTTAGCAACCAGGGAGTTCAAAGTACATTTCCACAGAGATGAAGAAATTCCCGACGACACGCAAACCCCATAAAAAACGCTGTGGACAAAATAATAATAACCATAATTATGTTGAATTATTAATATATATATTTTTTCTGTAAATGGTCAAAACTAGAGAGTGGGGACTATAAAAGGCATTCATTGCCCTGCTGTACAATATGATAATTAAAGTGCAACTCTGATATTGTGTTCCGTGATGCATTTTTGTTTTGATGCGGCGATATTGTGGTACAGAGCTACGGTGATGTTGTGATATTGTGGTAGAAAGTTACGGTGATTTTGTGGTAGAGAGTTACGGGAAAGCTGTGATATTGTGGTAGAAAGCTACGGTGATGTTGCGATGTTGTGGTAGAGAGCTATTGCGATATTGTTGTAGAAAGCTACGGTGATTTTTGGTAGAGAGTTACGGGGTAGCTGTGATATTGTGGTAGTGATGTTGCGGTGATGTTGAGGTAGAGAGGTGACGTGGTGAGAGTGGTGTCAGTATGGTGAAGTGTGTGGGTGAGTGTCAGTATGAGAAGAGCGTTGGTGAGAAATATTTACACACGAAGTAGTGTATGTGTGCAACAATGTAAATATACGAAATAACCAATTTCCTTATTAACAAAGAACATAATCCATACTATCCATATATTTTAACTCGACTCACCGATATTATTCCCAATATTAATACCAAATATACCAAAATATGAACAAAAAAATCCTACATTTTCGTTGGCAAAAATAAATACAAAATATTGCCACTCAATTTTCAGCAACAAAATTTCGAGTTACGAGAAACATCACGGAAATATTAAGCTCCCAGATGAGCGCTCAAACATGATAAATACAATGCATGCATCAGAGTGGTTAACGTTCCTGCCCCTGGATGCTAGGCTTGCTTAATCCTGCCATATTTGAACGCTCGCTCAAATAAATTAGGTCCCCTGAATAATTGCAATGCCATGGGTATAAATTACAGATATCCATATATAAAGCAGGATTATGAGGGGGAAAAAATTCATGGCCTATATGCCATCCAAATTTATGCAGGAACTAGAGTATCAGAATATTATTAGCAGAATTGTCACGTCCCCAGTTGCCAAGTAGGGATTTGTGACACGAATTCATCAGCGCCATCTATGAATTGTATTCACAACTTTTGCCGGGCTGGGAAGTGATTGGCAGTAATGGTAATATCTCCACTTCAATTACAACTCTAAATTTTGATTGGATGATACTTTTCCCATCACGTGTGTTTTTATGAGTGATAGTAATGCCTATTACCAGAAAATATTGTTGCACGAAAATCATATTATAATTAAGGGAATAATATAACTTGAAGTGAGCCTGGTAAAATTATAGGTATTACATATTACCACGCGATTATCCTCAGCACGCAGGCCTCTAAATTATAGCCATATTAATATTAATTATTATAGGAATAATAATATTAATAATAATAATAATATTAATTCAAATTTGATTACGATAATAATAATCACGAGAAAATCCGTAGGAGCCATGAAGAGGGTTCGAACCTATGCGGAGGGTTTTCCAACGCACCCGCGCTAGCCACTAGACCACGACATGGTTAAAGATTGCAACCTGGAGTTCTACTGAACACACGCCAGGATTTCCTGAAGCTCCTACTGAAACCTTACCAGAATTTTCACACACAATCCCCTCATGGACTCTGACTCTGTCATTTAAACACAGACAGTAATCACACTAACGTGACTAACTTACTCACACTACCTTGGTGTTAGTGACTCAAACTGACACACGTTAATGTGATTAATTTATGTGTAGTAAGGATTATAATATTGAGAAAATTATTTTGGAACAATGGGGCGACTTGAACCAGCGTTCTGGTGACTCTTAGACACTTATAAAAACATACTGGCACATGTTCTTATTGTTTTACTAGTAATATTGAAGGTGAGAGAGACATAAGGACCGACAGACCCGGGTAACGCCGACAAACACATTCCAAGTAATTTATATGAAATTTTTTATTGATGAAAATATCCTTAAAAATACTAAGAATCAGTAAGAACAAGGAAATAAACTACAAATGTATAAGTAAGAGCTCTGATCCCCTAAAACTCTTACAATTGTAGGAATAATCTGTTTGTATAGAGCAATAATAGCGATACTAATAGATAATTAATAATAAATAAATAACAATAACAATTAAATAATAATATTAATAATTATAATTAAATAATAATAATAATAATAATAATAATAATAATAATAATAATAATAATAATAATAATACTTACGTGAATACTAATAATAATAAATATTCTTACAAATAATAACTTAGTTTGCCTCGTTATATAGTAAATAATATATTGTTATTATGCATTTTATTGTGATACAAATTTTGAGGATAATATTTTCATTACATGTGAAAACACAATGAGGCGTACAGATACACACATGCGGCTGAGCGGACAGCGCCTCATAGTCGTAGTCCATAGGGCCCGGGTTCGATTCCCGGCCGAGGTAGAAATTATTGGTTTTTCCTTCACCTGATGCCTTTGCTTACTTAGCCGTAAATAGGTACCTGGGAGTTAAACAGCTATTACGATCAACATTCAGTGTGTATTGGAGAAAAATGTATTTTAGCTATGATAGACAAAATTGAGTTAGATGTCAGTTCATTAGACAACCGATGGTTAGAAAGGCGGGCTCCCAGAGCTAACAGCTCTGTGTTGCAGGCACTAATAGTAAATAAAGACATATCGACTGACGTAAATACATACACGCACATATCCAGAAATACAGACACACACACACACATGCGTAGACACACACTACCAGTTGATTGCCGGTTGAGAGGCGGGACCAAAGAGACAAAGCTCAACCCCCGCAAGTACAACTACGTGAGTACACATGGTTGTTAGAGTTTAACCCAAGCAAATGTGATGTAATGAAGATAGGTGTAGGAAAATAGAGACGTTAGAAAGAATTTTTCAATGTCAGAGTAGTAGACAAATAGAATGCATTAGGAAGTGATGTGATGGAGGCTGACTTCATACACAGCTTTAAGTGTAGATATGATAGAGTCCAGTAGGCTCAGGAACCTGTACATTAGTTGATTGACAATTGAGAGGCGGGACCAAAGAGACGGAGTTCAACCCCCGCAAGCACAAATAGGTGAGTACACACACACTTTTCATTATTACAAAGACTGATCCTCGACATAGAATGTCGAGTGTTTCCACCAATGACGTCGACTAATGACTCCAAATACCCCAGTACCTAGTCAACAAGGCCATTACACGCATTTCATCGAACACAGAGTGAGCTAAAATACAGCAGAAAACTAATGTCCGTATACATTATCCATTCCACTTAACG